AACTATTCCATTAAAGTTTAATTTAAACATTTTTCTTTTTGTTTATTAAAGTTTTTGTTATATCATATTCATGTTACGCATTATTGTCATCGTAGAATGCTTTAATAGCATCGATAATAATAGAAATTTATAAATTTTGGAAAGGTACTACATAAAAAATAGTTAGGAAAAACCCTCGTTTCGTAATTTGAACGGCTGAGAGCTTTTAATATTTTCAAAATCTCATGACGATATACTAACAATTTTTTTCTTTTCAGCAAGGGCAGCAGATAAAAATTTATCCATTTTATACTCCGTCTCATCATTAAATAACAGCATACACACACGTCTTACATATATTTTATATTTCAGTATAATGTTACATTACATTTTACATTAAAATATGCTATATGTTTAATGATGACTCGGTTAGAAAGTAATTATTTTTGCAGCTATAATGATTATAATTTTTTTCAGCAAATCTGACCAGCTTATTTCATTAAAAATTCCAACAAGTAGAGCCCTTAACGTTGTGATACCTCCTGACACGAACGAATGACATGAATGACTATTTCTTCTACCCCTAACGAAATGTAGTTTGAAAACCAATAAAAAGGTTTGCAAGTTGACATAGTTTGATCCACATTACAAGTCATTAACTTTTATATACATATATATAATAATGTGAAAGTGATTGTAATGTGGCTGAACATGTAATCATTGGTATAAATAGAGTGTAAGCAAAAGCTGATTATTTTTCAACAATGAAAACTCTTATGGTAAATGCGTTTCAGGTGAAAAAGGAATTCATAGCGATGCTACGTGAACACAAAGACATCGACAGACATTCGCATTGGAGCGATTGTAAGAAAAAGTTGGAATCAGATTGGAGGTACAGAGTCGTAGAGTCGGCAAGCACGAGGGAAGATTGGTTTAGGGATTACATTCGTATGCTAAAGGAGGAGAGGAAAAAGGAGAAGGAAAAAGACAAAGATCACCGGCACAGGGACAAAGACCATCACAAGTCGGAGAAGAAGGATAGGGACAGGAAAGATGTGGATAAATACAAGGAAAAGTCGTCGAAGGAGAGAGCTGACAAGGATAGTTCGAAGGATAAGAAGCGAAAAAGCGAGGCACCCTCGGAAGAAAATGGCAAAGAGAAAAAGGAGGCGGTAGCGGAGAAAGAAACAGGAGAGATCGAGGACAATGATGAGAAACCCTCTAAGAAAGAAAATGACGTAAGTGTTTCGACTTGTCGAGTTAATTAAAAGATTATTTTATAGCAATTTAGATGATATTTGTTTGACTAGAAGGAGGATGCGGAAGATCAGTCAGACTCGGAAGAAGATCGAGAGAAACAAAAGCGAGAACGAGAAAGAAGAGCCGAAGCAAGTCTTCGCGAGAGGGAGAGAGAAGTTCAGAGGACTCTCGCCACGCATCTTCGCGACAGAGACAAAGAAAGGCAACATCATCGTCACACAGAAGCGGTGCAACATTTCAGTGCTCTTCTCGCGGATTTAGTAAGTATCTTGTTATGTAATTCTCATTATGAACAAAATATAATATTAAACGTGTTCAGTTTGCTTAACATAACGTGTTCGTGTATAGGTGAGGAATGGTGATCTAGCATGGCGAGAAGCGAAACGGCAATTGAGGAAAGATCATAGATGGGAATTAGCGGAGAGCTTAGATCGCGAGGAAAAAGAAAGGTTATTTAATGAACACATAGAACAACTTAGTCGCAAGAAACGCGATAAATTCCGAGAACTTCTCGATGAAGTAGGAGCTTCTACTGAACTTACCGCATCGTGGAGGGACATCAAAAAGTCTCTAAAAGACGACCCTAGATACCTTAAATTTTCATCTAGTGATCGGGTATGTAGTTTGTGTAAGAATGTAAAACAATAAATTAGAAATGACTATTTTTAAATATTGTATCATATTTGTTCTTTTATTTTACAGAAATGCGAAAAAGAATTTAAGGAATACATTAAAGATAAACTTGTTGCAGCCAAAGCTGACTTTAGAGAACTTTTACAAGTATGTTGAAAATATATCCAGATTTATTATACTAAATTTTTCTTTGTATATTAAGTGTCTAATGAATCCGACTTAATATCAATTTCAGGAAACAAAACTTATTACTGATAAAACATATAAAAAAGTACAAGAAAATAGTGCACATTTAGCAGAAATTGAAGAAATCTTAAGGAAGGATCGAAGATTTCTCGTACTGGAAGCAGCAGCTGCTGAACGGACACGTTTATTAATGGGTTATTTAGAGGAATTGGCACGTAGGGGTCCGCCTCCACCACCTACTGCCTCAGAACCTTCAAGACGACCGACCACAAAGTAATTATCGTCTGCAATGAACCAAGAAAGGTCCATATCCATTTGTATTTGCGGAATTTATTTTTGTTCTAGTTAACGAGGCCCGCATCAAATCATGGTATACATATGGTGTCCAAATAACAAATCAGTGAATAAATTTATAGCTGTAGTTGAATTGAAGTACTTTACACACGAGATGATTATCGCCTGTAATTATAGGATTCAATAAAACTAACGCCAATTCCACACAGCTAAAAATGTGTGTCATACTGTAAAGATGCCATAGCGTAAGCATATCATTATTTGTTGGATTACATTAAAATAGATACTAGTTAACGAAAGATTTATTAGCAATACTATATAGTAATATCATAAAGTGCGAATTTTATACATATTTTATCCAGGTTTGTTACATAAGCACCCCATTATGAATATTTTGTATGAAAATTACATGAGAATTATAACAACAAGTTTGTTGCACTCTCGACTAGTTTAAAAGCATGTGCAGTGAGTTTCTATAAACTGATGTTAAAATTAAATAATACGAAAAATTTACTTCTTATATGTAAAACAAAAAAAAAAAGAGAATTATACGACAATCATGCATTACACTCTTTTGACAGAGTACTATTCGAAAATCATGTTTTCAATTTTCGAATTATTTTCCTCACACAGCTCTGTTGGATGATGAAGCGTAAGTATCTTACAAAATATTCTCGTCTAAACCATTTTGATTCTAAAGGGATCACAAAAGATACATACGTGGAAAAATTCAGTGCATTATTCACAAAAGTTACTTATCATTTATTCATGTGGCATTTTTACGGTACGAAATTTTTAATCTGATAAAAAACAAATACAATAGAAAAATATATTTTACTCAATAAATCATTCATAAAAATTGCGACAAACGTTTACATCTCCCAACGATCTATAATTATTTACGTTTTATTTCTAATGTTTTATAATGTTTCATTGCAGACTTTTTATGTAAGCAATGAAGAGTATCGATAAACACGATCTCATAGTAAAATAATTAAAGATCGCAAAATTACCGCAATAATTTGTACATTTCGTTTCGTATGAACAATACTAAAATTGTTTATTTAATCGCCATACGATCATTTTTACCTAAAAATTAGGATTTTTAGTTAACATGATTATGTAATGTTATAATGTTACAATATAAATAATGTACATAAAATAAATGTAATAAAATTTATGCGCGTTGTAACATTATAAAAAAAACCAATCTTATTCTTTCAATCATATGATCAATCAGTGCACAATTTTACATTCAATAGCAACAAATAAAATAATATGTTGCACAAATTTATCATTATAAGCAATTAACAAGTGTTTATTCGCGTATACTATTGTTACACATTGTATACACCAGGAATTGTAATATTTTCCGATTTCATACGGTGATTTCAATGCCAGCATAGAAACGGAGACTTCAACGTCTGCTGCATTTGTTAGAGAAGGTATGATATCGCAGCTTTTCTCTTTTACATAAATTTATTATTAAGAAACGTTCAAATTTTAATACATACGAAAATTTTTAAACTTATTCGATTGGTCAAGAGTGATTTTGAAAATTGTATAATTCTACTCAAAGTAAAATATCTTTACGTTTCCGTATGACTAAGTTATTTCGAGACGCGGACACATTATTCCGTAAATTCGTAGCAGTTTCACGAAACAAAATACCGTACATGATTATATATGGTAGATCTTTGACGTTGTTACCGTTAGAATCGGGACCGCGTTGCACTTCCTGCTAACTCCGCAGGAATACAAATTGGCAACTTGACGCGGAGGCTAGTCTGTAACCGAATCTTCTCGCGTAATTTCACATAAGTGGTAGTTAAAAATCCGAATAACGATAAATTTTCCAAGAAAACCGGACACTGTTGAATCGCTTGATTCGTAACTTCATCAGCTTTCTCTTATCTAAGATCATACTTACAATAAACGTATTATCATTTTCCCAAAATTTACATGTAAATTCGAACTTTTATCAAAAATTCTAAGAATTAATTCCTTCGATTTTTTTCAGTTTACACCATCCTGATTTCAGAGTTCACAAAATAGTACAATAAAATTCACGCTCGTTTTACAATCTTATTTTATCATAAAGGACTCGGAATTCCTCTATAAAAACGCGTCAAGACCAAAAGGACAAAGAAAAGCAATTTCTATTTTTTCCTCTTTGTACGTTCACATGAGAAAAGAAGAAACGTATAAAAACCGTCTGTACGTGACGTAAAACATGTAAAGACGGTATTACTAATCCCCCATACCGTTGCAGCGGTAATTTAGAAGCTATTATAGAACATCATCGTCAACTGTATTGCGTCACAATATTACTTTCCCTAGCTGTCTCGACCTTGCTCGTCTTTTTTTTTTCCTTTAGTGGCCATCTGGTTTCGGGCCGGATGTGAATCAGTTTGGAATCGATTCGTAAAGGTCGACCACAATAGGTAAGGGTTAATGAACGTGCCGCCAGCAGGGTAAAATCGACGTCGAAAAAAATGTTTACGATGGTGCTTGCGAAGGACGCGGCCGTGTTATGACATTCTTGAGCTGCATTCTTCGGAATCCTGAAAAGAAAGAAAAAATGGAAAATGATCCCGAAATAAAGATGCTAAACGCACGCTACATATAACCCGAATGCAGAGTTGACTTTGTGGAACGTATTATACGTACATATGTGCGGACATAAAAATTCGTCGCGCGAAATATATTCGATACTTTCTAAATAAGAATTGAAACTTTTTTAATTTCTTAATTAATGAAGAAATTAGGACAGTAAACTCTATCACTTTTTATATTCGAAATTAGTAACGGTCGTTGTAAATAATTTAATGTAATAGGTTCTAGAGTTTTAACCTAACAAGTTTCTTTTATGTGAACTAAATTTTTAAGGTGTTAATAAACGATACGAATCAGGACTTTCAAATTAGAGACATTTTAAATTGTAAAAGAGAGAATTAATTCACTTTCAAGTATGATTAGATGTTAATTTTTAGTGTAAAGGTAATGATGAAAGTTAATATACAGGAATTTACTGGTAGATAAATAATCGGTATTTTCACATTACCAGTTGAAAACTCGCCTTTTTCGATCGAAAGGTTAAAATATTTAAAACGTAGAGCATTGATAACAATTTAACTAATATTTATAAAACGAAGAAAATAATACGAGGATAATATCGAAATTGATTACCTGTAATGTAATGCATTATTTAGAAATTTCAAATTCTTGTGCAAATAAATAAATCGTTCCGTGAGAAACCCTTCCATTTATAAGGTACAAAACAGTCAGCCTCGGGGTTCTCGACACCTCGTCGAAAATGCCACCTCCCGATTCTAAAAACATTGCGAAAGATCGTTGATCCTCGTAGTCGACCTTCGTGAAGGTACAAGAAAGGTCGTACCCGGACGTTCTCAAATTTTTGCTAAAACCCGTCCCCTTGGTTTTTCTAAGTATCAGTTCCCTCTCGTCGATCGTCACAAAGCGGTGTACATGCGAAGAGAGGCAAAAGAGAAGTGGCTGGACAGAAAAGAGAGGGAAAGATCTCGATGGCCTCGACGTGCCAGCTCCGCCTCGCGAGGCGCGCAGCCACCAAGTGAAAGTGGGATTTTGCTTTCTACCCGTGGCCAGTGACAAACGCGCCGTGCTCGCGAACGTTTCTTTTCTACTGTGAGGATGCATCCGTACTTCGTTTGTCGATAAATCGGCAACACAGCTACGCCGCGACGAAACAGATCCGCCGATTTCATCGTCGTTACGATGATAGTGTTACTCTGACAGTTGGGCAAACCGCCTCGAAATTGTGCGAAATTGTGTAGATACGAAAAAGTGCGCGGTGTGAACAAGTGCATGAGAAAGATGTCGAAGATGAAAACGAACGATACCTGGCACATCAACGTGATTTTCACTTTCCTGATCCTCAGCTATTTCACCCTTTCGACGAACTGTCAACAGGGTAACGTTTTTTTTTTCTGAAAATACCCGCGCGGTGCCCTTTCGGAACGGCAAATTCGATTCTGTTTCGCGTTCCGGCCGCGAGGGCGCGCCATCGACAAATAACCGCGCAATCCTTTCATGGATAGGGGCATAGAGCAAATGCGAACGCCTCGTGGACATATGTGTCGCGGGAGATTTATGATATTGTAGGGTGGCCAGCTGAATTTTTATCACCCTGTAAGGGGCTTCTTCGCATTCCTCGCAGTATATTGTCACCGTGTAATTTATGGCCAACAGTTAGGCTTGGGAGTTTGTTCAACCGCGATCGTTGAAAGGTCCCGTTTGATTTTGACAACGTAATACCAGTGGAACGTGTAGGTGGTATTTATGTAATCCGGCGAGTCGACGGTGTATGACTGTCACGATTCACCGAGTACAGCCTTTCTGACTTAATTCGTATTCTTTGTTGTTTCTACGGTCGACGAAATTTTCGATTAATCGTTGCCGTGTAATAACAATGGAAATCGGATACAAAGTCACGTAAAGTAGAATTTTCTATTGTAAGAAGTATTGCAGTAAGGTTGTCATTCTTTCATAAGCTTAGTATCTCTGGATGATGTTTTTTGTACTTGTTTTTAGCAAGCAAACCACAATAGTTTCGTAACAAAACCTTACTCGGTAGATAAACATAAACGAACAGATTATGTACAGATATGCCAATATTTGTGTGAAAGGTATGTGCAAATTTTCTCGAGGTACAACTACGAAATAGCGCAATACTTCATGTAATCCGGCCTTAAACCTGCGGGCAGAATAAACGGCGGATAACCGTCGTGCAATACTAGATGGTTTGAATTCGTGACCCGGTACATTGCGATACAATACGCAATACAATAGAACCGCAATTCCATACAAGAGTTACGTACAATCGCGTAGCACGATAACGTAATTGAACCTCCATTGTTGTCTGTAATGACGACTTCGAAACGAACGATTATCGTGATTCTCAAAAACTGATATATCGAATTCAAAATTGTGATTGTCTCAAACGAATAAAATTGACATGATTCCCCATGTATTATCCTTTTATTATCGTGCATTGTGTAACGTCCATAAAGAGTAGTTTCAAAGTAACAATTGACGCGAAATCAATAGAAACAGATTTTTCATAAAGAATTATAGGTAAAACAGTAACAAATATGCTTTCTACACCTCGTTCGAATAAATTTAATTTCATTCGTGTTATCTGTTTGTGGAATAATTACTTGAAATTAATTCAATCACAGACTGAAGCAATTAGACTAAAAAGCAAGAGATTCCAGTAATCTGCAATGCAGAATACGCTTAATGATAGTGAAATTGCTTGTTTCCTTCGCTGGCTCGCACGCAGGAATTTTTTTTAATGACAGAAAAGTGAAAGAGCCAAAACTAATCTGTTATTTAAAACTGAGTTCCAAAAATAGTGTTTCAGGTCACCTGTAGAATGCGTTCCGTCTGCAGCCAACGTTTTCTTTGCACGTTTTTTCTTATCTCGAATAGTTATGCATACCTCGCAGAACAATGACGAGTATACTTAGAAACGTAAACGAGTTAAATAACTTTTTTGTATAAAGAAGTATAGTTAAAATTTTTTAAGTTTATAGACACGTAATAAAACGTCAAAGAGGTTATGATGCAAATGGCTTGTTATTGTTTTACCGTTAAAGACCACTTATAAATACGAGTATTAATGTCTGTCACGAGTTAACAGTAAATCTAAATATCAGATATATCGATGGTCGCATTGTAGGCACGTAAGAATAAACGGTTCTCATGTAAATGATTTCCGTAAAATATGACGCGCTTTCCTCGTGCATTCCCAATCCCGGCTCTTTCAGCGCGAGGTTTAATGATGCTCATCTCACGGATCTCGTAATAGGTGAGATTTTTATGAAACCCCGTAACCAGATTTATCACGGACTTAATCATCAGGATGGGGAAGTCCAAAATATGAACGAAGTGTTGTGTCAAATCTCATTTTCCCAGATGTATAATATAAGGAACATTATATACATATATAGGACGATACGTTGATGAAATATGATTTCCTCGGTGCCATAAATAGTGTTACGAGATTAGTAAGGCGAACGATTTAGCTTCTTTCCCAGCTGAGTCATTAACCTTGAAAAAGAAACTTCTCTAGAGAAAGTTTATGTCAATATGCATTAGCCATATCGACCGCACATTTTCTTTCACCTTATTTCTACTTCAAGATCATCTACAGTTTATTACATTTTTCAAATACTGCCGCCATTTGAAAGGTATTGTAAATAAATTTTAGTGACACTCATTAATGCCTCGTATAGTGAACAATTTATCAGTATTAAATTCAAAGATTTTTAAACATGGATCATATAGAAAGTTTACGCATTTTCATAAAGATACAGATATTAATAAAGAAAAGTCGTTGGCGCCAATTCACGCATAAAATTCACCATTAATCATATCGATATGTGATGGTAGATCTCGAACATCGTATATCGAAAATTCGCATTAATTGTGTGTCGGTATAATAACGGTGCATTCGGTTATGGAAAGTGCGCATCAAGCGTCGAATCTTTAACGTGGCGCGTTTCCTATTTGGGCTTCGTTTTCACTAGGATTGTAGGCCAGAAAATGGCACGACCGCGGTGTTGTTTCGTTGCGTGTAGCCGCGAATCTTTCGCCTTTTACATTCGCGGTGGATAAGGAAAGTCACGGTACAATAAGCACGAAACATGTTATTTCAAAATATCGTTGTAACACGTAGATGCAGTTCTGCGACCTGCGGTTGTATTTACGCGCATTATCAAGTAAGAGAGAGGGCGCGAGTGGTTTTAATCGATCTGAAATCGCACGAGGTCACACCACCACTCATTTATACGTTTACCCGGGACGAACGGGATAAAGGCTTGGTAAATGTAACAAAGGTATGCATTTGTAATAGCAGCGATAAAAGGAATATAAATAGAATTCCATTGTTACTGTTCTTATAATTGCATACATTTTTAATAACCTCTATTATATGCGTAATGCGTATATGCGCAGTTTAACTGCGTAATGAAGAATATAGTAAGAAAACGTAAATCACTATAACTTCGAGTTCAAGTAAAAGTATTTTTAATAGGGCTGTCAAATTTTGACGATGATACTATATAATTATATGCTACCCTTCAATCAACGATGAAAGTCGATAATTCGATAGCAGTGCCTGTGGCATAGTACAAAATTGCAACGTGACAAATCGATCAAGGGGAGTGTACATGTAAAAAGTTAGCTCTTGAGAACATTAAAATAATGAATTTCACACACCTCGTAATCAATACATACAAAGAGTAAACGCCAAAAGTAGAAAGTGAAGTGACCTTTTGTTTTATGAAAAAATATTTTGTAATTAAATTAATCCAGTGTATTATTGAAAAATACATCGGTAATGAGCTAGCAACAGGTTCTCAAGAAAATTGAACGGTGATAAAATAGCAACAAATATTACAGCGGCGGAGAAAAGTCGCGATCGGTATTTCAGCAAGTACCTCGGGTTAAGAATTCGTGTGAACGTATGTGCGGAGAGTAGGAGCGATCAAGTCGAAGGACGATCGAAAGGAGAACGGCTACACTCGGCTCATTATTTACAACTTCGTTGCCTAAGCCTGGCACGCGCGACTTCTCGCTCCTTTCGTGCACGTACACCCGTTAGAATTCAGCCAGACACTTCCTGCTGTCTCGATCGTGAAAGTATCGGACAAGTTCCACTGAAAATTCGAACTGGTATTGGCCATATATGTGATTTCGAATTACGTCAATAGATCGATGAATTTACCAACAACTAGTCGAGATAGTTAAAAATATCAAATCCGGTAGGTATCAGCAACGGAAACCATAAGGCATACAAACGAGTTCCTGTAATGATACGAACTGCCATTGATCGTATAAGCGATTTCGAGTTGCGTTCGATATCGATGAATTTTCAAATAAATTTCATCGCTTTTAGGTTAGAAATGCAATGCAGGAAGCTGAAACTTTTAACTGTTTATTGGAAAAGCGTTGGGTTACGTTTCATTGAAAATTCGATTTGACATTATATAATTTCGATTCCTGTTAGCAAGGAAATTGCCGATAAATATTTTTTTGAAAAATGATGAAAGCAACTGATAAATTTAATTTCAATAAAGATTACATCTGTTTTGAAATTCATAAGAATGTGCGGGGTGGGTAAAAAAGCAAATAGTATTAGCATGAAGTAAGATATACAGCACAAAGAAACATGTATTTCCGTTGACAGTTAATCACGCGGCAGTTACCGCAAATATTCGCTCGTTACACTTCTAATAGCGCAATAATTTATGACGTGAGACGCAAAGTGCGATCAGTGAACTGCATCGTTCAATCTTGATTAGCAATACGTTTATATAAAAGCAGATTAGTTACACGATATAATCAGGAATGCGTTCCGAGTAATCTTGTAAAATGAATCAAACATCAAAGATGAAATAGATCTGATAGGTATTTAATTTTATCGCGATACTCGTATTAATTATTCGTTAAAAATTAAAATTAAAAATTTCAAATAGTGACATAAAGAAAGACTACTTTCACGCTTTCTTGAGATTCTTAACGTTATTTATAGAAAGAATATAATTTCTTACACAAACAAGAAAGTTAGGTACTTTTATCGAAACAAAGATAAAAATCAACTGTAAGCGCTTATGTTGTACAGCAATGAGAAGAATTATTCAATATCCTTTTAAGCAACTGTATTATTTAAGTACATTATTTTGATAAATTACATAAACAAGCAACGCAGGCAAAAAACATGATCTAAGATAATTTATGCATTTCTAGAGTTTCTCTCCTAAAACGAAACGCGGCGAACCAACCGGCGAGCCGGGGAGCTCGAAAAGTGCAAGTGAACTTTGGTAACCTGCAATTAAAGTGGCGCGTGTGTTCTACGGATTTAACGGTGAGAAATAAAACCGCACACTGAGAAGCGAATCGCCAAGAAAGCCAGCGTGATTAACGCATTCGAGCAGCGTAACCGCGCCTTAATTTATATTCGTGCTCGGATTTCGAAGGCCTGGAGCCTTGTTGATTCCATCGTGGACACACCCACGGAACTATTCCAGTTACGACACCAACCACTGGCTATAACCCTTTTCAAGAATATCTTGCGCTCTTACAATTCAGAATACCTTAGTTATTCCTCCTGAAAAGTGTAATATTCGCTTCTGCTGAATAAACTTATCGTTAACCAAGTTTATGCACACTTTATGCGGTACGAACAAGACTTTTATGGATACAGCGAACGGAGTGAAGAACGTTCAGTATACGGTTGGGAGAAATTGCATGATTAGAAACGGTTTATGCAAACTTCGAAATTATTTACGTTTTTTCTCTAGTTTCTTTTTCTTTCTTTTTTTTTTTTTTTATGTATTCGGTTCGAATAAGGGAAGAATACGTAGGAGTCCCGAGAGGCCGAAAGAGTAGCGGAACTAGCGCCATTAATATTGTATGGAAAGAAACTGGGCCAGACTAAAGCTCCCTTTTACATGATGCTTGAGAAAAATTGGAGAATACATGAATACATTTAATATATAATTTATTCACTCTTGAAATTTCAATTTTTCTTCGGAATTGTTTAAAAATATGGTTTTCTAATCATTTATTTACAATGTTGTATAATAACACTTCATTATACTACACCTGTACCACTGTAAGCTATAATAATTCTTAAACAATTGAAATTCTGGTAGTAATAATAGAATTACTTTAAGACTGGATAATCTTCTCGAATTTATCTTGAGCAAAAGAAATCTTAGGAATTTCTGAATGCGAAAGTGGGACGAATTTTGTCTAATCGAAAGCCAAGAAAAGGCTGTTTTGTGTAACTACATAAATGCCTTCGTTTTAAGAAAAATCGACTTTTTGTGGAATCAATAAATGTCGAATATGCAAATTCGTATTTACTGGTATTATCGCAGTTGAATGGCTGCAACTCGATGCTCGAAATCTTGACTAAATCTCTCTAATGTTTGAAGTGAAGAGTCTGAAGCCCGCAAAATTGAAGGCTTAGTATAATATAAAATTTAAGAGTTGATTTGTACTCGATTACTAAGGCATTGCGTAGCACTGATGAAATAACACAGGAAAATAAGTTGACACGTTTAGAGCGTTATTTATGACCGAGTTTTCCGCGAAGCGACAGGAAAATGAAATGAAGCATTCCTCAACGCAAACGGCATTACAAAACATGAGGAAACAATGCTGGAAAGCGTCTTCGCTTTCTTTCGGAAACGGCTCGAGACAGTTTCTCACGGAACGTGCTAGTTGGATTCGTGAAATAGCAACCTATATACTTACGTACGAAGTATATAATACGTACATGATTTTCCATGTTGAACACGCTTCAATTTTTATTTATCTTCATTCGCAAATAATAGCTTTATTTGACTGATATTTGTTGTTTTTCTTTTAAGAATAACAAATTTCATTTATTCCCCTGCATTTTTTAATATTTTCCAAGGATATTCGTTTACAAATTTTCCATATGTTTTCAAGAAATAATCGAATACACGTTTCCTTGAAGTCCTTTTATAAATATTCTTTCCCGACACAACACCTTTAATTATCTACCTAATTCAATTCTCCTCAATAAATCGAACCGTTTCCATTCAAGGATCAGCTGAGACTTGGGACAAATTGTCGCGTCTGATACCGACGAATTCGGTGTACGAGCAACAGGACAAAAATGCCTCTCCTGCTGTCAGCAACCCGGCAGAAACATTATTACGCTCCTTGGACGAGAACAATGTCATGGAGACGTCGAAAGCAAGCAGGAAGAACGACCAACGCGAAGAGGAAGCGAATGAAGAAACCTATGAGGATGAGTACGAGGTTGAAAACGATCGAAGATCGGTGCAGGATGCTTCGAAGCTCTCTAAAATCACCGATAATCACACGGTGAAACATGAAAAATCGTCTGCTCTAACTGTTAAAACTGAAGACACGTCCAGGGATGAAGATTATGTCGAAGATCCCTCGACGAGTCAATACGACGCGTATTATTACTACTACGATTACGAAAGTAATAATCGATCGCGATACGAAGCCGCAGGTGAGATAACAATTTGTTAATTTATATCTAATGCTACGATCTAGCATTACTTAACAGAATTCTGCAGGAAAAAGTAGAATTTCAAAAGCAGTTTAGTCGAAATTAGATTAATTGAAATAATTACTTCCTTCATCGGTAGAAATTGGAGATAAGGTTTGAAATGCTGTTTAAAATCGATCACTTCCTACCTGAACTGTAAAATCACGTACACGAGCTCTGCCTCTTTTTTTTTTTTTTTCTCGTGATGTAACGCGCGACAGTATCAAATAATTATGATCTTTGTAAACGTGTTTTACGTTATGTAAGTCTCGTTTCGTCACCTGGTGCCGTGGAAAGTCTTGTGCGTAGAGAGAAAGAAACGCGACGAAACGGTCGTGCACCGTGATCAACGCGTTTCTTCCGTGTGTCGTTGTCGCAAAAACAGGATTCTAAAGATCGAAACTTCACAGCGAATGCTGACACCCTCGATTATCCGGATGCAGAGGAAGAGGAGAAGGAGGAGAAGGAGGTGGAGGAGCAAGAGGAGCGGGAGACCGTTAGAGAATCGCACGATGAAGAAGAATCAGAAAAAGCGGAAGAAAATTTGGATTCTCATCACGTGGCGAACGTAAACGATTCTTCGTCGGATTTGCTCGAGGAAAGAGACCTGGACACGCCAATTTCAACGACGAACAACGAGGATGGCACGTCGATGGAAGGCAGCGATAAATCCTTCGCTTTCATCGGACCGCTGAGAACGGAAACGAATTTCTCGTCCGCTGATAGCTCGATTTTGATCGGCGAAGCCGTTGTATCCGTGGTAACGACGAAAAGCGTCGTCAATGGCACTATATCCGTTCCAACGACATCCTCTCCAGCCACAACTGAACAAGTCGCCGCGCCACCCTCCTCAACGTCTATAGGAACCACGGAACAACCTGTGACAGCAGTAACAACAGAAGACACGTCCAGGATATTAGCGTCCGTTCAAACGAGTCGCAGCATATCTGGAGCGCGATTCTTGCCGTTTCCCGTCATGGATCGGGTCGAACCAATCGGCCAAAGTGGTGAAAAAAAGACTTCACCACCTCCAGAGTCTACAGAGAGTATCATTGATAAATTGGACAGAGTTCAATCGGAATTGTCCAGCGGTTTTCTCGCCGGTGGTTTCAGAACTGCCGGCAACGCACTTCAATTGGATGTTTTAAACGATAGAGAGAGGAATAATCGTAGAAGATACACTACCACTGCTAAGACACCGGTTATTAGCAAGTTTGTACCTCGTCGGTATAATAACGACAAAAGAACTGATCACGCGACACCGAAACCGAAGATAGAAACAACGCTTGATAGTCTGGAAGGACTGTTACCGCGTGATTTTGTCTCGAGGAGTACGACCACGCTGTCGACACTCCCGAAGACTGGATTCAGGTTGGTGAATCTTTTTTGTATTATCTTAAGAAGTTATGTATATCCAAATTTGTATAAAAAAAAATAGTAATTCTAGAAATATTAATAAAATTACTGTAACAAATATTTTTGACAAGTGAACTTCCTATAAATACTATAATTATTTCATATTACAAATTCAATGAATGAAATTAAGGATATGAATAGCGTAAAAATGCATCGTATTTTACTTTAGATGGCCCACAAAGAGTACAACCACGACAACGACAGAAGCTACCACGATTCAACTCACGTCTACTACCGTCGCCTCTACAGTGAAAAAGCCTAAAACCAACGTGAACGTTCAAGATATCAGCGCTTTCCTTCCGCCTGGATACAAATTGAAGAAAGAAGACGCGACTGCTACGGAGAGCTCTCTGTTAAGCGACATTCTTGCAAAATCTAAGGTTGATATATCCTCTTTATTGCCGTCGGATTATAACAAGAAGAAAAACGAAGGAAACCCAAGCACCAAACACGAGGTGACTACAACAACAACATCTGCAACAGCGAAGAGTGTGGATGTTTCAGAGAAGCCAACAGCTGAAAAAACAATTCAGGATTTGTTTGCAAAATCAAAGTTTGATATTTCTTCTTTGTTACCACGAGACTATGAGGAAAAAAAGACGAATCTTACTACAGAAACGAAGGATACTCCTGTAGAGAATTCTACGGAATCTGACACTTCTACAGTAGCAGAATCTACTTTGTCCACGACGAAAAAACCTGGTAATATAAAGATTGTGTTTCCTAGTAGACCTGGTGGACGAAAAGGTATTCATAAAATTACCACGCCATCAAGTCCTCGAGGCGACGCACCTGGCGCGGTTACCCTGAAAATACAAAAAGGATGGCCAACAAGGTGAATCTTCTGTCCTAAACTTTTCGTCAGAGATAATCTCTAAATTCAATTTTATGTGGAAAATGTAAATGAAACTCTTGTTTTAAATTTTTACAGAGCTACTACAGAATTTACCGGATGGCCTACTCCATCAACTACACCAATCTCTATAGAAAAGTTATTAGAAGCTGCACGAACCGCGACGGTTTCGTCTGCATCACTTATTCCAATAACAGAGGTAACGTCAAGTACTACTACTACGTCGACCACTACGACTACGCCTAGACCAACGACACCAGGAATTTGCGAGCAAGAGTGCGAAGTCGCTGGAACTATAAAGATCATCGGTAATGCAAGTTGGGTGCCAGAATTATTAGATCGAAATACACAAGAATGGCAGAACCTTGCCAATGAAATTGAGCAAGAGGTAATTTTGTATATCCATTATTAAATTAAAATGTACTTGTTCTACATGTTATAATAAAATATTATTTGTCCGTTTTGTGATAGATGAACTTCATATTCTCAAAGTCGGCTGTCCTAGCAAAGTGGTATAAGAAAATAAGAATTGATTCATTCAGGTACTAATACAGAATAACCAACTTGTAAAAATTGTTCAAAATTGTTGTAAAGATTATTTGTTTGTTTAATTGATGAATTTACATATTTCAGCGAGGGTAGCATTTTAGTAGATTATTTCATCGAATTGGCCGACTTGGAACAGAAAGTCAACACACAAGAGTTAAAAGTCATTTTCCACGACTCATTGAGGACTTATAACGCAAACAGGTGGAACGAGACCAAGACGAAAGGCTCTATAAAATTGGGATTGTTTATGATCGATCCAAAATACACAGATTTTGTGGGTACGTTCGTTACCTTATTGATCTATTATTTTAATATTTCATGAAATTAATGGCGTAAAATTTGCTGTACGAATAATTTATTTGCAGTAATACCCAAAGCAACCACTCCTCATTATATCGAAAAAGACGACAGATTAGTTCCACAATGGGCGATTGCTGTCATTGTAATCGGCGTTGGTGGATTGGTCTTTATCGTTATATTTGGTGTCTCTGTTGTAAGTATTAAGTTACAAGAAAATGTACTAATGTTAATGTGAGATTAATATTCATTATGGGATATTTAATTCTTAGCTAATAAATCGTCACAATGGTTCAAAATTAAAACCATCAGTATCTACACTTTATGAAGAAGAAGTTGCAAAAAATATGTCAACTCATAGATCTAGCGACTACTCAAAACCAGTGCACACAATTTGGACTGATCCAGATGTTTCCTGGAATGATAAGTCTTTTGAATCGACTTCTAATAAAGTAGGATTTTAAAGTATATCTTTGTTGAAATTTCACATACTCATAAAATAGTACGATTATCTGTATTTTATTTGTAATTTCAAGGTACTTGTCGAGAAATCTTTTCAAGACAACAAGAAATACAATATGTACGACAGTTGGCGATCGGAATGGAATGGTTACAATTACTACAATGGGTCTCATACCAGCAGTAAATATGGCGGCTACGACAGTACAACTAATTTATCGAGTCGTCATCATCCTGATTACGACACAAATTTCTAAAATTGACGGTAATAAAATAAAATTTCTATCAACTCTACTTTTACTTAATTTATTCAGTGCCTTAAATGAGTATGATACGGAATTTTACATTAACGTATTTTACTTAAAACAACACGAAGAATGTCGAGTTACAAAAAAGTTGTGCATTTTATTCATTTTATTCATACATTTAGGATTTACCGCAGTTTAATGTATAGTATACTATAATGTTACCTTATATTGAGCAACCAGTATCTTGTACTTGATTCCAGAAATCTGTTATTGAACAATTTAATCATTTTTATTATTCTTTTATTAAGTCTATTACGAAAATTTTATTGTTCATTCTAGTCAAAGAAATAATCAGTGTCGTTTAACGAGTATTTAAAAATACCTGATATTTTTGTAATATAATCATGTTCATTCTAAATTGGACTTATAGTTATAATTAAAAAAGAAAACCACAAATTTGTCATGCTTATTTGTTTCCTTTTCTTACAGCATAATTAATTGTCAAGTTATGTATACAAAAGTAAATTTTATGATAATAAGATGTATAAGTACCCTTTGCTCATAATTATATATGAAAATACACATATGTTTACAGAATTAAAATAATTTACTTGACAATGATAACAGTTCCATAACTGGAGAAACACTTGTTTTTTCAATAGGTGTTATGTGATGTTTTAATACACTCAATAATTTTTGGTATAGGAATGAATGTCTGTAAAAGAAGAATATAATTCAGAATTGTTCACATTTTATTAGATGCAAAACTTCATAGCATCAATTATTACCTGTTAGCTGGTTTACATATGGACAAATGATCTTGTGCAATTTCATAAAATTCTCCTACTCCAGGATCTGAAAATTAGCAGTACAATTTTTATTCACTGAAATGACAATAACATATTAAATAGTTTTTAGTGATATCATACCTGCCGATATAGGAGTAACAAATTGAAATGGAACTTTTAATGGTGTCACATGAGTAGATTTAATTTCACTGAAACTGACAATTTCCATAGGATATTCTTTTAACATATCGAGGAATTCGTTATGTAGTTGTAATAATTGTGGCGACTCTAAAAACAAATATTTTTTGTTAAATATATTTGAACCAAATTTTAATTCATATCATAAAATATTTTTAATGTACCTTCACGAAGTTCCTGTACTTCGACAGATGGCCACACTACCATTTGTGTAGTTTGTTTTAACGCTGCCACACGAGAGCCTAGATGTGGAGTACTATAAAATATTATGGCGCGTGTATTCTTACATATATCATTTTTATCACCATTCTTCCATTCTGTAAAAAGAATAATCACGTATATGAACAAATAAGTATATAAACCAATAAAAACATGTTATTCTATTGGAAGACAGTCAAACAAACCATCCACAAGCATCTTTTTTACTAATAAACCACCCATTGAATGACACACCCAAATCGCTGGTCGTTTCCCAACACCCGCGGTTAATAATTTCTTAACATATTCTTTGCTCCTTTCACTCATAGTGGTTCTGGACAATGAAGAATGTAAACGAGCCTCAATTTTATAAATAATCAAATAAATTAGTGACGTCAATCATACTTAGATGCTCACTTTGCGCCTTCTATTGGACACGAAGGAGTCCACATTGACAAATTCGTATCGTAATTTACTCCAATTACTCGAAGAGATGGAACATCCTCCGGTAACCAGTCTTTAGGCCAACACTGTGTTCTATGTTGACTGTCATGTTGAAATTTTTTCATGCACGCATCATCTCTGAAATAGTTAAGTTCCTAAGCAAGCAGAAATTTTTCAACTTAAAATACGTAATATAAAACGAAAATTTACCCGCTACAGGAAAACGGTCCACTTGTTTTCAAATTGTTATTTTGAGGACAATCATCTAAAATTATTTCAAAATCCTGTCCCACTCGATCCCATTCATGCTTTGTCAAATCATAAGCTAAATCTTTTAGAAATTCTTGTGATTGATCATCTATCAAACTTGAAAAGGTATTAATTCCATCTTGTATAGTGAGAGGATCTATAATAAATATTACTAATATGAACAATTTTTCAATATTAGCATTATATCATGTTATGAATAGTAGAATTATATGTTAAAAATATAATTATACGTTATAATCAATAATTTCTCTATTACACTTATTGTACTAGACTACTATTTGTACTTCTAACAAACCTATAACTCCAATAGCAGGTGTATTTAGATCTCTTTGCCTCCATGTTATAAATACACCTCCAAGTAATCCATGTAAGAAAACAACATCCAATTGTATATTTGCTTTAGTTTTATGCAGAGGATGAAGAAGATAAATACGTCTTGGGTATTTAACATATTTATTCTCGTCCATATCTAAATTTGCTAATGCACGACCAGCTGGTGCTGACAATCTAATATCACTGCTTTGAGACCATTCTACTAATGTGCCAATCCATCCTTGAAGTGAAAAGTTATATTATATACAAAGAATATACATGATCTTAGGAATTACAGAATTAGAATTTATTTAATGTACCTGCTTGAAAAATATCTTTCAGATATTCTGAGTGAAGTGAAATATTAGAAATTATTTTTGCAAGTAGTATGCACACATTAATATTGTCATGGAATATTTTCTTTATTATCATTAGTAATGGAAGACCACCAGCATCAACAATATCTAAAAATAAAAATAAATGAGATAAAAATACTTCAAATTACTAATCTACTTACTTTACCTTTACTGTATTGTTCAAGGCAAGAATGATGGCATAGTGCTTGTACGCAACTTTGTAATAACTCTTCATCCCATACTATGGTTGTTGATGCAGTCAGTCCTATGCTTGTTAAATCGTGATCAAGTATCAAACTCTCCTGTTTGTTTCATACTTTATGGATAATTAAAATGCACACAAAATAATTTATACAATACATATTTCAAAATTTTAAATAGAATATATACTTACAGAATATGTATCTTTAAATTTTTTGTTAAGAAATTGTATGAGGCATGGATGTGTATTTTTACACAATGAACTTAAATAGACAAGTAATTGATGTACTTTTTCTATTACATCCTGAAAAATTATGATCATTCATTAAATATTGCTTCCAATAAAATATGATCATATTGTAAAATACTGCTGTGCATACATGTAATTTGTGTTGCATATAATAATATGGTGGCTTTAAAAAAAATCTTGAATTAACATTTGGCATTCTTGCAAGGGATATTGCAGTCTTTGCATCCAGCATTTGTGCAATATGTTGATAGTGCCAATCTATAATTTTTAATCAAAAGTATGAAAGGTATTTATATTAAAAGCAATTAAATAATAGACAAAAAGGTACCTTTTAAATGTTTTAAAGAATTAAGAGTATAGAGAGCCCTTATACTTTCCCATTCATTCCCATGTTGTGCCATGTACAGTAATTTGTATGCTATACTACGGTTGAATGATTTCCACCATTTCATTATAATGTGACTAAAAGATAATGATTGTTTTTCTACAGATGATTGTAAATTCTCAATTTTTCGAAACATATCTAAAATTACAAATAGAATTAAATTTATTATGCATAAAAGTATTAATACGTACTTCATAATTGTAATGAACTATTTTAAGTTAAATGCAGATGAGTTCAATAAATACCTTTAAATCTAGGATCATCAACATAAATATATTGACTCTGTGGTTGTTCCATATTCAGAACATTGGTAGGCACAGAAGACTGCAAAATTTGTGATACTTGTCGTAGTTGATACAAAAACCAACAACCTCTACAACAACAAAAAATAAATCATTATCATCAATTCATTGGCAGTTTTTAAAAGAATAACAGTAAATATAACTAACCCCACCACAACAATAGAAATTCCAGTTGATTTTATGTATTCTATATATTTTTTATAAGTTTGTATTCCCATTATAAGATGTAAAGAATACTTTATTCTATTAAATAATGTTAACAACTTAAAGGATATATAAAAAAAATTTGTATATTTCAATAATAAACAAGATTCGCAATGTTAAAATTATTTTATGTTCACACTACCAATTATGGATGATCATTGACATTCAATATTCGTTAAGTATTGTTTTTTCGCTAATATTTTTATAATGAACATTCAATGCTATAAAATAATGACACATCAATGTCATATTATTTATAAGTATAATTCAATAACGTAGTATATTTAATGTTCATGATCAATGAAAAAGTAACTACAATCACATATGACTATATACTAGTAAAAAGTACACGTATTGAAGGTTTTAAAATGGTAATGCAATGACGTTATCAGAGAGAGGGAAGTATTTTAATAGATAAGAACATGAAAAATGCTGTACAAAAGGAGACAATTTTAAATACGCATATTAAAGGCATTAATTATTTGAAACGTTAGTTTCTAGATTAGACTCTCACTGAAAATTATTTTTCACAATTTTCAGTCGAAATCTTTGTGTCCATCAATCTTTACGATTCGCATTGAAATGTATAAATTTTCAATCGTCGAATGAATTGTCGGATTTCTTATTGGAAAATTTTGAATAAAAGTGAAGGGAAATATCGAAACTAGAAGGAAATTTCTACGTTACTGCGGACAAAGCATTAAGTAATGTAAAGTATCGTGGGGAACCAATGCAAACGCGGCTGCGCCTCAATACGACAAGCGGCCTCGAGGCGCTGCTCGCGCACGAACCCTTCAGTCTTTTTGCTTCCCATTTTGTACCGTACAGTACGTCCACCGAAGTACTGACGTTTCGCTGTACCATCGCATGGCCGACGTGTGCATTCCGAGGTTCACTTTCGCGTGGTACCCGCTGTGTCACAAGTATTGCTTTTAAAACGTAACACTTGTGGCAAACACCAACATACTGATCTCAAAGTGAGTGAAAAGTGTGGAAAACCATAGTTTTGTTTTACTGAAACAGAACAGTAATTCTCTGTCGAACACGTTCTTTCTGACATAATCCGGTATAAACTGGATCGAAGCAGATTCATCGATAAACGGATTGATCATTCGTTTCAGAGAAAAATTCGTAGATCCGGCTTTCACGTCGACGTGGACCACCTTTCCAGGCTTTGTCCCGTTGGTGATAAACGATTAATTTGGTAAAAACCCATAAGCCGCGACCACGCGACAGAACGCGCAGCAATGTCCAACGAGGAGACTTCCGCCGACCGCAATGTCGAGATCTGGAAAATTAAGAAACTCATAAAAAGTCTTGAAATGGCTAGAGGGTAAGTAGGTCGAAATTAACGTTGCCGCGCCTTTTCTTATCAGCTGTTCGATTTTCTATCTGCACATATGCTTTAAACAGCATGTGGTAAGTAGAAAGTAACGGACTTTTCTGCCTATTGCGAAAATTAATTTCACGTGATTTTATGTCAAAATCCTGCGGATTTTCAAAACTTCGAAAAATATGTCATATTGCTGCAATATTTCATTTTTATATTTTATGTTACCACACGAAAATGCAATTATTTTAATACAATACTAATGCAACCTCCTATGAACAGATTGTTTCACAATATAGTCTTGTTTACAATATATAATTATCAAACATTAAATATCTTGCTTTACAGGAATGGGACTAGCATGATTTCACTAATCATCCCTCCAAAAGATCAAATATCGAGAGTAAGCAAAATGTTAGCAGATGAATTCGGAACAGCATCAAATATTAAATCTCGTGTAAATAGACTATCTGTTTTGGGTGCAATCACATCTGTACAACATAGGCTAAAATTATATACTAAAGGTAATTTTTATGGATTTTTTGTAATTTGTTACTTTATTCTGTTAGTCTTAGAAGCAAATTTATGAATAAATTCTTGTCATTAGAGCACAATTAAATAATCATATATATTTATTGTTATATATTTCAATAATAAAAATTGTACATTATTGTTTTAGTACCTCCAAATGGCCTGGTGATATATTGTGGTACCATTGTAACAGAGGAAGGAAAGGAGAAGAAAGTTAACATTGATTTTGAACCTTTCAAACCTATTAATACTTCTCTTTATCTATGTGATAACAAGGTAGTTCATTATTTTTAATTTCATACAACCATTTGAAAACTAAATTGAATGAAATAAATTTTAATATGTATTTTAACATATTTTAGTTTCACACTGAAGCACTTACAGCATTACTTGCTGATGATAACAAATTTGGTTTTATAGTCATGGATGGTAATGGAGCATTGTTTGGTACACTACAAGGGAATACTCGTGAAGTTTTACATAAGTTTACTGTAGATCTTCCAAAAAAGCATGGTATTATAATTAACATGATATTTATTAATTACGAAGGTCCTATGTTTGTTGAAAAATGTGCTAACGTATTAAATCGAATTTTAGGCAGAGGAGGACAGTCAGCTCTTCGTTTTGCTCGGTTACGTATGGAAAAGCGACATAACTATGTCCGAAAAGTTGCAGAAGTAGCCACACAATTGTATATTACTAATGATAAACCTAATATTGCCGGTTTAATTTTAGCGGGTAGTGCTGACTTTAAAACTGAACTTAGTCAATCAGATATGTTTGATCCAGTAAGTGTATATACAACAATAATATATGTAACATAATTTGACTTTGTTTAATATAACATTATACTTTTTCAGAGATTACAAGCAAAAGTTATAAAGCTGGTAGATGTTTCATATGGTGGGGAAAATGGTTTTAACCAAGCTATTGAGTTAGCTGCTGAATCCTTGCAAAATGTAAAATTCATTCAAGAAAAAAAATTAATTGGTTAGTATTATAAAGTATATTAAAAATGTTTGTCTATACAGGAAATAAATGAAATTGTAAATTTATTTTGAGATTAAATGGCATGTGTATTACTTTATTTAGGTCGTTATTTTGACGAAATTTCACAAGATACAGGAAAATATTGTTTTGGAGTAGAAGACACATTAAGAGCATTAGAGTTAGGTAGTGTGGAAACTCTTATTTGTTGGGAAAACTTAGACATCCAACGATACGTTTTGAAGAACCATACAAATGCAGAAGAGAAAGTTTTACATCTAACACCAGAGCAAGAAAAAGACAAAACTCATTTTACTGATAAAGAGGTAAGTTAAACTACTTTAAATGTTTTATTGATGGAATTATTTAAATAAATATAAACTATTCTCCTAATCCTATTACTATTATCTAATACTATTTAGAGCGGGGTAGAATTGGAACTTGTAGAGTGTCAACCTCTACTTGAATGGCTTGCAAACAACTACAAGAGTTTTGGTGCCACTTTGGAAATCATTACAGACAAATCTCAAGAAGGTTCCCAGTTTGTAAGAGGTTTCGGCGGCATTGGAGGTAAGTTCACTGGCTTTGTTTATTTTCGTTATTACTAACTTTGACTCGACTGAAAGTAATATACTTGTGAAGTGATAATTTGTATTCGTCCACTCAACGTGTATACTAACAGAAAAGCGGCTGATTCCACTTTGATTAGCTTATGATTAGAAACAAAAGATATAACTTCAATATCTTTTTAAACATGAGACAAACATCAGTATCTCTTGGTATTGATATTGAAAGCCTACTTGAAGCTTGGGGATTTTCTTAAAATAATACCTATTTGTGAGACATATCTCATGTATTTTTGCTGCAAATAAAAAAAGTGGTACACAAATTTCAAGAATGGTCTTTATCAAGATATTACATGAATTCGTATATATGAAAAGTAAATGGTATTAAAGAAGCATAAAAATATTATTATTAATTATGGAGTATATCTTGATGCATAGGAATCCTCCGCTACAAAGTTGATTTCCAGTCACTGCAGGCTGATGAGCCTCTTGATGATGTTGACCTCGATGATTACTAATTTCATCTGTGAAATACTCAAAGTTGACCAGGTAGCTCTTTCTCTGTCTTGAGTGCATTCGTTTACATTTCGTGTATTATAGAACATATTACTTTCAGAACTGGACAAATTTATCAAAACATTTATGACTCTTGTATTAGCTTATACTAAAGAGAAAAGTAAATAAATAAAATAATTGTACAATACTATTAATATACTATTAATTAACGATAACTTGTACAATATTAAACCTTCATATAATAGCTGTAGCAATCATCAATAGTTTAATTATGTAATCATTGTACATCAAATTCTGTCACTACGATTCGCATTTTAAATACAAATACACATAATATGTAAATTAATTTTATACAGTACTCATCATGAAGAGATCAATTTTTATTATTGTTATTAAAATTAATTTTCTAACAATGTAATATTATTACTAAATCTGATCAAGCTCATTCATTATATATTGTCATAATTTTATACTATCATCAATAATTAACACGTATGCATTCAATATATAATTAACGATAAATTTGTCCAAAAAATTTGCAGTTTCTTCTGTTGGATTTCTCACTGAATAGTATAGTTCAATACTTCTGTGCAAATCTGTAGTATATGTATGTCTCTTCTGATGAGTTTGAATGTGAATATAGATATTTTTAGTTATGAATTCGAGGTATAATATTTACTTTTACGAATAAAAAGCCTGAAAACTTTGCTGTTTTCTTTTTTTCTTGGTGGTACAAAAATTAAGAAAATCTTGTATATATATGAAATATGGATAATTATATTTGAAGAGGGTGAGTTCAAATATTCCAGTGTGTAACTTTTCTGTCTTGAACACTATTAGATCTGTTCTTATTAGTGATTATACATTATATTGTTAGTAATTAAAGTCAAACTGTAGGTGCAATACATAATGATCAATTTAATGGAAAGATAGTATTGCTTATTTTCACATGAACAAACACTTTTTTTTTTCATAATACATCTTACTTTAAATTTTTGTTGCATATGTACACATGTAAAATTAATTACAACACAGATGATTTTCACACACAGTACAATTTCAAAAAATTTTTAATACAATATAATATCTTTCTAAAAAATCTTTATAGCAATTTTAAATCAATGAATAAATATTTTTTTACTTTTTCTGAACTGTTGTGAATGTGACACACGTTAGTGATATAATAATGAATAACACGAAGATTAATTGACCTATAAAAATGTTCAGCTCCTAATAGCGTTATTTTATGCATTTGTAAAGTTTATAACAATAATTCATATGATTATATAGTATATGTTAAAAATATGTATATATATGCGTATGTGTATATATATATGTGATTTTCGAAATAATAATCGAAACCACTATTTCTTGTTTTATTCTGCAGTAGATGTTTATAGGGAATTTTCTTTATTTGCATGTTAAGCTTTTTAGCCTTGTTATATAGGCAGAATTATACTTTAGGTGTTGTATTTTTAATGTTAACTTATATTTTTACAAACGTTAATTGAATTTTTTTCATGTTTTTTTTCTCTCAATAATACATGTCAAAATTTTGATTAGGTACTTGATAAATAGGTGTTTATTACTTATTTGCCTATTACATTAAGAATACTGTAGTATATAATTGAATTGACAAATTTGATATCCAATTTTTACATATATTGTAGATACATATATTTAAATTAAAGAACTGAATTAGAATTTTAATTATGACACCTAATCCTATTTTGATTATTAAGC